GATGATGAACACATTCCAATTCATACAATAGATCTAAAAAAATTGTTTGAGACATACGAAACATATTATGAAACCTCGTTGGATGACCTTGTAGTAGCTCTCCAATCCATTTGTCTCCTCTAGATGACGCTGTCATACACGGTGTCTTGCAAATATATGTTTCATAATACTCATTTATAACACATATTGCCACAAGTATAATCTTTTTAATATTTGCAATATCTGCTGACTCACTTAAATTCACATTACATTCCATTCCTGCATATAGGTAGTAATAAGTATTAATAGATTATTTCTATAAACAAGTTTTATGCTCTCTATAATTCAACTTACTTGCCTTACAATATTCTCATTATCAGAATATAAACAATCAAACATAAGCAGTTTCTCTGTTAATTAAATTCTGATCGCCTTAAGCATACAAGAGATACTATTTTTATCTTAAATACACTTTTGTCAACACCATTTACCACAAAGTTATATTGAACAGCCTGTCCGTCACTTGCTCTACTCCCAGTTCTGATTGGAAAAAAAAAAAACCTTCAAGATACTAAAAATATCTGAAGAAAAAGATCAAATAAAAGATAGCAAACAATCTTGCTTGTCAAGAAAATACCAGAACTAAATAAATTAGTCAAGTATGTGCATTATATGGAAAGCTTGAGCATGCATACAGAAATTTATAATTAACTAAACTATGTTATACAATCTTTGTTATACAGAAATTTAGCATGCATACCGACTTCTTATACAAACTTTGGTAGCATTTCATAGAATCAGCTAAAATATGCCATTAAAGCATTTAATGTTCTCTGAAGGTCCTCATCTTTATTTTTAACAAAAGAAAGACATTGCAATTTCATAAACATAAGATAAACTTGAGATAAACATAAGATCTTTCAATTGTTGCAGTAAAAAAAATATTACCGGACTGTTCAGAACAACACAATCAAAATACTAAACTAATGTTTTTAAAGAAAAACATAAATATCAAGGAATCTATGATGTTGTCTCATGATTTCCGTAGCAATATCGAAGATAATTAACTCTTCGATCAGGACAAATTGACATAAAAATTTATCGCTTTGTTGGATCCTCGAGAAGCTTTGTACTAAACAAATACAGTGGCATATCTTCAAATGCTTCAGTTGTTTCTTCAAGAACTTTAATGACAGCAGAAAGGGATGGAGTATCAATTATTGACTTTGATGCACTAATTCCAGAGGAAATATTTGTGCAAGAGTTTACAAGCTGAGTTATTTGGCTTCTTAGAAATGTTGAACCAAATATTCTTTTCCTTCTACCGGTTGACGTTGTAGATGAAGGACGTTTCAATTGGCTACAATCATTTATGCTTTCAAGATTTTGTGAAGGATTTTCAAAAGACTCAGAACCTATATCAGTGTGTTCAGAATCTTCAGTATCATTTTCATGGTTAAGTCCCTGGTTTGGAGTCCAAGCATGATCCCCGGTAGCAACAACACCTTGGAACATAAGATCTAGTTTATCTTCAAGCTCAGGATCAATGCCACTGTATCTAAACTTTTTTGCATTTGGCACAACCTAGAAAGAAATATTCAATTTATAGAATTAGAAGGCCTAACATGAAGGTTGAATTAGTTTAATATATGAAACGTATAAAATGATTATTTACCTATAATTTTTCTTTCCACCATTCATCAGATGCGTCAATGGTTTTCTTCCTAGGATCCCAACCAAGTCCAGTGGATCCACGCTTCAATTCTTTCCATAATTTCCAAATTTTTTTTAATTGATCCCATTTATTTTTTAACTGAACTTTATCATACTCTCTTCCAGTTTTTTCAAAAAAATTCTTAATTAAATTCGTTCAACCCTCTTTATTGAAGTGTGTAGTTGGTCGATTGCCGAGTTCAATCTCTCTTAGACATAAATCACAAAATATAATCTTCACATCTTTTTCCCATGTTACGGAAGGCCCCGCCATTCTTTGGTTTACCCATTGAATTAATTAATCGCTGTAAGTGGAAGCTTTTATTTTGAAATTTATGCTATAGTTTTCATTGATCACCAAAATCTGCAGATTTTTAAATGTTCCATCAAATCCCACCAGTTTGATAAAAAAGGACCAGCAGAAAAAATAAACAGAAGCCTATTGGTTAAAAGAAGAGAAAAGTAGCTGAATTTTTCCTACTCTATAAACAAGTTTTTAACCTCATGTCCTTTTGTTTCTTTTATTGTCAAGAGGAATGTAGAACATAGGAAACTATAAATCAGCACCACAAAAGCAAGTATGAATTAATAAAATTGAAGAAAATATATTGTGCAAAGTGAGTTTGTTCATTCACAATCATGTAAATGACTGTAAATCTGACATTAATAGTATTGAGATTGATGAAAGTTGTGAATTTCAATTCATTTAAATAAAATAAAAATACAAGATTTGTATGCTCTCCTTGGAAATCATAAATGCCTTTCTTCCATTCTCTGTAGTTGCTTTGCTTCACATATTTCTTATGGAATAGTACATGCTTCTTTTCAGCACACTTTTGAAAGATGGGGCAGAAGTTACTCCATTTTTCTTTTTCCTTTTTCCTTGTTCTTCTTCTCCGGATCAGGCCAAAAGAAGGATGCAGGGAAGTGCTCGTAACTGCTGCACCTCTGATTTGATGTTTCCCGTCACTTGTCGCTTGCTACCTGACCGATACCTCCCCACTCCTCCAATTGGTGTAACTTCTGCCCCATCTTCCAAAAGTGGGCTGAAAAGAAGTTTTACTGGAATTCCAAGATCCGGAGAAGAAGAACAAGGAAAAAATACTACCTTCACTATTGTCGAGGGTGGCGGAGAAGATCGCCTAGGGCTTCGAGTATGATAATTTAAGGAAGAAATACTACCTTCACTGCAAGCAACCTTCTATTGTTGGTTCCAATCGATTCACAGTGAGCGAACTCCCTGTTTTGCTAAACTTCCGATTCAACAAGCATCGAGGGTGGTGGAGACGAGTGCCTAAGCAAACCTTCGCCGCAAGCAAACCTTCGCCGATCACAGTGAGCGAACTCCCTTGCTTAAATCCCGATCCGACAAACAGGAACTTGTCGAGGGTGGAAAAGACGACCGCCTAAGGCGTGGGAGTTGACAGCTACAAGAAAGGAAGAAAGCAAACCTTCGCCATTCCTATCGCCGAGCGAGATGAGACGGAAGCGGAGGATTCACCTGGTATAAAGGAAATTTGTGAGGGAGTAAGGGCATTACCGTATTTAGGATGTCTATGAATAGCGGGAAGCAGGCGAACCGCAGAAGGTTTTTACGGGTGTGAGAAGCAACCGCGGGACGCGAAACTGTCGAGAACGGAGCGCCATCAGTCCGTCCCAAACGAACTCTCGGTTGTGTTTGGTAAAGCACAGCAGCGAAACACCCGTCCCAAACGCGCCCTAAGAGACCTAGAGAAAGGATGTTTATGACCTTTAGAGGTACATGAGGATCAGATAGAGAAGGAAATAGGAATAACTTGAGATCGATTTGACTTGGAAATAATAACCATAACTTGCTGATGAGGGTGTCCCAGACGATGGTGCCAGTGAAAAGAATCGGGAATGGTGGCGGAGAGCGGAATGACATGTTGAGGACGAGTTGAGTTATGGGAGATGGAGTAGATCCCATCACGGTAGGGGCCTGAGAGGATTACTAAATTTGTTGTCCGGTCATTGATTTGAAAGCCAGATCATCGAAGAGAATATATAGATTATTTTCTTTTGCTAAGTTGGAAACAGAGAGAAGATTGTAGGAGAGTTGAGGTAGATGAAGTAAATTGTGAAAAAGTAGCTTACGAGTGGGGGTAGGTAGAGGATCGGGACCAGTGTGAGCAATGGGAAGGTGACGGCCATCTTCAACAGTGACTGTGTCCGTGCCTTGATAGTCTGACAGGTGAAAGATGTTGTTGATGGTATTTGCGAGGTGAGACAAGGCGCTGGAGTCCAATATCCAATCAAGATTGGACCTCTGCGTAGAGGCAATGAGCATTGTGGGTGGTGAGGAGGGAGTAGGATATTGGAGGTTGAGGCGGTGCCAGCAGAGATTAGCTGGATCTCCACATTTGCCACTATTTTGATAGGTAATGCCGGAGTTAGTGGAAGACGGTGGTGGCCTTAGAGAGGAGGAGGTAAAGCTGTGACCTCGGACAACATTGTAGAGGAAGCGTCCTCTGCTTCGTCCACAACCACGGGAGGAATAGAGAGCGGTGTGGAGCTGTGGAGTAGCTGCTTCCTTGGCGGGGAGATTGATTTCCTCGTTGAGAAGGAGGGAATACAGATCTTCAAGGCTGATGGGAGATAACATTGTGCGGATTGAGGTCTTGAACGCCTGATACTGAGATGGAAGACCATTGAGGGTGTAGAGAAGATTGTCTTCTGTATCAATGGTGGCTCCGACAGCTGCTATGTTGTCAACTAAGGTCTTGATGGTAGTAAGGTACTGAAGCATCGTGGATTGACCCATTGCACTAAAGATTGAATTTGTTGCTATAAGCTTGGTGTTCCTGTATATCACGGGTTGCTTTTTTAATTATGAATAATTAAAAAAAATGTTCGTTTTTTTTTTTTTAATTAAGGTTCTGCTATTATTTCAGTTAAGCATAAGCTGTTGGAAGAAACTTATGCTTTTTGTTTCAATAGTTAACCATATCTTTTATTGGTTCTGTTTCATTTTTTTAAGGTTGATTCTTGAATAAGGTTTAAAGTTGATTCTTGAATTAGGTTTGTAAAATTATGGGATCTTTTGTGTAAGTTTGAGCCTTTAGAACTCATTTCACTAAATTATATGTTTATGTTTGCTTTCAAGATGTAAATTTTAAAGTGCAGCTGGTATTGATCTTACACAAATGATATATTTACTGATATTTTTTTATATGGAGCTTGATTTTTTTAATAAATTAACCACCCTTTTGTGTTTTTTTGTGTGCCAAATTTACGGGAGAATGTCAAATTTTTATTTTGCATTAATCTTTCATGGCAGCGATGTACAGGTGTTGGAGCCCAGTTTATGTCGAGGAAGAAAATCACCTCTCTTATGATGACTTCGATCCCTTGAAGGAGTGGCTTGCCCACCCAGACCATGTGCAATTGCAGAATTCTAGTGACTTGAGCAACACCAGTCTTGACCCCCATGAGCTTCACTATAGTGAAGTTAAAATAGAGCAAAAAGATCAGATATTGGAATCTTCAATTGATGTAAAGATGGGGAAGATCAACCTGGTTGAAATTTCAGATAGAGGGCAAGTGGAAGTGGGATTCGAGGAGAATAGAGGTGGAAGTGATGGAGACATGAAGTGCATGAAGCCTGGGTTGGAAGATTTGAAAAATGATATACCGAACAAAGAAGGAATTTTTGGGGGAGAGAGTGATGAGGAAGGGAGCACTTCTGTAGAAGCGGAGTCTGGCAGTGGGGACTCTTCAAGCGATGAATCCATGAGTGTTGCCAAGTCACTTTCAAGCAGTGAAGATGAAGATGATATTAGGATGAAAAGGAAAGAGGAAGGTGAAGAATCTGAAGAGGGTGAGGTGAGGGAATTTGATGGGGATAAGATTGATTTCCTTAGTGATGAGGAAACGGAAGGTCCAAAAGGACCCATCAGGTCAAAGCATGAGGTAGAGGTAAATATTTGTCTTCTTTCCATGTTTCTGTTTGTCTAAATTGATAGAAAATTCATTTACAGGAAATATTCATACCCTTAAAGAACCTGTTTATAAATGATGCGTCTCGCTAAGGAGATCAAATAACTGAGGGCAAAGTGTTTGATATTTTAAATTTCCTAGTACTTTTGAAGTTTTGAGAGCCCTCCATGGCATGAATATGACGGTTATCTTGATATATGTGAATTGCTTGTTTCCGTCAATTGGGGTTTGATTCGTTTTGACTTAAGTTTTGATGTCATTTTTCATCTAATATGCATAGCACTTGCATATGATTTATATTCGATCATAGGATGTTTTGCTTGCTAGTTTCACTTGACACCATGGAATAGAAATACTCAATTTGTACTTGCATGCATATTTAATCAGAAACCTTGAGACCAGTTGTATGCATATTTTTATTTTTTTTAATCATGTCATCTTATTAATTTAGGCTTCGTTTGGGATGGATTTTTTACTGCTTTTCAAAGCGGCTTTTAAGTACAAAAAATTTAGTTTTTTACTAGAAAACCGCTTTAAAAAGCAGTAAAAAAGTCGTCCCAAACGAAATCTTAAAGATGTAGAACCAAGCTTTATTTGTAAAATCTTTTCATTGTTTTCAAACATTGCCTAAGAAGTAGTGATTTTAGTTTTATGATATAACGCTTTAGCTTGGTATTCAATCGTGTACTCGGATGCTTGTGCATGGTACTGCTTTGAACTATTACAATACAGGATTTTTTTTTGTTCAATTCTTTTCAGTAGCAGTGCCATGTTAGCTGAAGAACTTGACTCTTCAGATGAATATGAATGTAAATATTTTATTGATATTGGCATGCTGAGTGCTTATATAGATGCATATGATGCAGGATCTTCCTCCAGTTCCTATAGTTGAAGTGTCAATCCAACCACATCACCAGATGTTGCCTGTGGGAATTATTTCATCAGTAAGTATTTATTTACTATAGGAACTTTATTTCTAAAGCTTTAAAGCATTGCAGGTCTCACCATCTTGTATGTATTTTATGATGTAGTTTTTTTTTTTTTTAAATTGCAAGTTATCCTAAAGCTTTGGCCTTTTAGCCTTATCTATTTATAGTATTTATTTACAGTTTTGCTCTCTAACGTAAGCAATTGATTATTGAAATCTTCAGATAATTAGCAATAGAGTCATTGTCGAGGGTTCTGTTGTGCACAACCCTCTTAATGAGGGATCTATTCTCTGGGTCACAGAAACCCGGCTCCCGTTAGGCCTGGTTGATGAAATATTTGGACCTGTCAAGAATCCCTACTACGTAGTTAGGTACAATACTGAAGAGGATGTTCCTGCAGGAATCAGAGTGGCCATGGCTATCTCTTTTGTGGGGGAATTCGCCAGTCATATCCTCAATGACAAGGACCTCTACAAAAAAGGTTATGATGCCTCTGGTGATAATGATGAGGAAGTTGATAATGAGGTTGAGTTCTCCGATGATGAAAAAGAGCAGGAGTACAAGAAATCCCAGCGGGAAGGAAAGAGAGTGATCAACCATTCTAAAGGTCTGAAGCAAGAAGCTAGGTTCGAAAGGAAGAGGAATGCCTTCGTGAGGCCCAGGACTCAACATAAGGACATACAAAAACAAACAACTTATGCACCACTATCAAAGGATCAACCACATCCTACAGGTCCGGCACCACCGCCGCCTGCACCATTATGCCCTCGAGCATGGACGCCGGTTGCTACAAATGCAGATTCGATACCACCCTCCGCAATGCCACAATTTCCACAGGCTATACAAGCAAACAATTTTCTCGCTAATCCATCTCAGCAGTTATTAAGTCAGCATCAAGATCCTCAATGGCTGCCTGGATTTTCACCTCAGCTACAGAATACAGGATTTCAAGGAGATCTTTCAATCCAGTTGCAGAATCAAAATGTTATTTTCAATAATCTTGTCAACATGATGACCTTTCAACAGCTGGTTCAGCAATTCGTTCCTCATCAAGGAAGCAACTTGCAATGGGCTGGTGCTGCTGCACCATCCCTACAGCCTCTGGGGCAGAATAATTTTGCACCATTACCATTTAGTAATGGATATATCAATGGGCCAGGGGTTCCCGGCCTGGGTAATGAGCAAATCCAGAGTCAAGCTCCTTTGCCTTTTGCTCCATCCATGCAGTTTAATTCTGCGAGTCCCCCTTCTCTGCAATTTAATGGAGGAAACTCTTGGTCTCGTGGCAGAAGGCCTTATCAGAGAGGCCGCGGCCGTGTTTTCGACCGAGGCGGTCGGCAGCCTAACAGATAGAATGACATCTCTGGTATGGCTTTTTGTATTCATCTTTTGAACAAATTATTATGTGCGGCATCCAGATTCGTCCGGAGGCGAATCCGGACGCGCCATGTTACCCCGACTCCGGTGCATCCGGGTGACATGGTGTGTCCGGATTCGCCTCCGGACGATCCGGACTGCGCATATAATAATTTGCCCATAGTTTGAAAATTCAACCTCCTTAGAGTTTCCTGTTTCTATCTATTAATGTATCCCTTCCCGTTATTTAGTAGTGGTGGTAACTATGTTTTGTAGTCGCATTAGAGGCTTAATGCCGATTTCTTCTTTTTTTGCTAACAAAATTGAGCTTGAGTCACTGTTGTGTATTATTTTTATTGAAATTTCTTTGCAAAGCCTACTTTCCTGTCATTGCTGTTTCGTTTTTTTTTTTTTTCAGAGAAATATCGTTTGTTTGTTTTAATTTCTTTTGGTTCAATGCCATTTTACTGGTTGAAAATAAAATTATTTAAGGCTGAGCAGGATGATGCATTTTAAACATTTTTTTTTTGGTCAAAATTGAAACAGTTGAAGGTCATGGTGCCCAATCTGAAGTCTGAAATGTACTGTTTAAGTAGGCTTCGGATGTTGATTTGTTGGTTGGGAGTTTGACTCTGAACTGAGAGGTCTTTTGTTTGAGTCTCGCGTATGTTTTTTTGTGTATGTTTAGGTGCTGCCCCTAATTCTATTTAGGGGTGTCAATTCGGGTCAACGGGTTGAGTTCGGGTCAAACTCGGAACTGACCCGGCACTGTTCGGGTCAACCCGAACCTGACCCATTTTTAAAAATGGTCAGGTTTCCAAACCCGAACCTGACCCGATTTAGGTCCGGGTCAAACCGAACCGACACGAATGGCCCGAAGTTGACCTAAAATTGCTAGATTTCAGGTCAAAATTGGGTCAATCATCGATTTTCGGGTCAAAATCAAGTAAAAAATAGGTCAATCTCGGGTTTTCGATTCAAATAGGAGTTTTCGTGTCAATTTCGAGTTATTTTCGGGTTGTTGGGTCAATCCGAATCCGACCCAATTTTTAAAACAGATTGATTTGTTGAATCCGAACCCGACCCGTTTCGGGTCCGGGTTGACCCTAACCTGAATTTTTTCGGGTTGGGTTTGAGTCATGTTTCATCGTGTTAAAAATTGACACCCCTAATTTTATGGATCTTACATCTTAAGATTAGTCTTTCGAGAAGGCAAAAGAATTAGATAAAGGAAAGGGAGCTTATTCATCATCATATCGCCATTCTTGGAAAACGGGGGAGTTTATAAAGTTTAAGGTTTTGTTGGGAATGATTTTTTTACTGTTTTTTAAAATATATTTTTAGTACAAAATTTTTTTTGAATTAAAAATTTGTATATTAAAAATCTGCTTTAGAAAACTGTCTCAAATGAAATAAAAGGCTAACACAAAAGTTAATCACCTTCACTCTCACTAATTAATCATTAATTATAACTTCATCATCTTTCCTAAACACATAAGCCTGTAGTCAACATTACCTCTACGTAAAATCTCATTGTTAAAAACATTAGTACATAAAGAGAAAAAAATAGAATTTAACAAGTTAGATAGCCAACGTTTGAAATGATCTAACAATAGACAAGCTTATTTTGCTATATTTGAATAATATCTATACTAAAATAGTAAATTAAGTAGAAAAGAAATATGTTTGGCAATGCTAATGCGTTTCAATCTTTGAAATTAGGGGTGTCAATATTTGACACGACACGAAAACCCGACCCGAAAAATCCGGGTTGAATCCGACTTGATTTCAAAACGGGTCGGGTTCGGGTTTTTAGATTTGACCCGATTGAAAAACAGGTCGGGTTGACCCGACGGGTTGTCGGGTCAACCCGCGAACCCGTTTAAAACTTCTACCCAGCTGCCCGTGGACCTACCCGCCCCTGCCCGACTGCCCGAGGACCCCGCCCGACCCTGCCCGCGCTGCTGCCCTGCCCCATGCCGTGAAGCTGTTGGCCTGCCCGCGCCTGCCAGCACTTTACTGCGCGCCCTAGGCTGCCCGCGTGCGTCCGAGTCCGTGTCGGGTCGGGTCAACCTGACAACCCGCTGGGTCGGGTCCGGGTTCGGATTTCCAACCCGTTTTCCTACCCGGGCCGGTTTAGGGTCAACCCGTTTGAACTCGGGTCAGTTCAGGTTCAACTCGAACTCGACCCGTGACCCAAAATTGACACCCCTATTTGAAATACAATTTTATTTTAAACTTACAGGAAAATTTCCTTGTTATTTATTCGAAGTCTTATGATATGAAAAATTGTTATAAATTATAACTTTTTGTTTGTTTAGGTGTATTGAATTCATAAAAAATTTAATAATATCAAAAATATAGTAAATAATCATAAGTTTTAAATAAGAAAATAATTAAATCTAAAGTAATGTTGCCTAAACAATTAGAAAATAAAAATGATAATGAGATAACAATTCAAACCTTATTGTATATGCAAATCTTTCAAAAAAATATTTCCTTAAAATCAAAAGTGCAAGCATCATCTGTAATAACATATAGATTTCCTTTGAACAAATTAAATAATTTATATTAAAAGAAATAATACACAAAAAAAATATTAAATGTTATGATCTTACTCTTGAATTCATTTTACACCAACATTAAAAATATTAGAATATCAACTATTCTAATGAGTCAATTAATTTTTCTATGACATTATTGAAATTAATGAATTACTTTAAGTAAGATTAGTTAATGAATATTAACCCAACTAGTAAGATAGTATGATTAATTATTCTGTGCAGACGCAAACATCAATCAGAGATTAACAAAAATATGCCATGTCACCCATGCGATCGGTACCGCGGTTTGGTACTGCTCGATACTGCTGACATGATGCATTCTGTTTGGCCTCCGGACGAATTTTGTGTTTGATTTCTATACGGAATAAGAGTAGAAGGCAGGCCCGCTTTTTTTTTTCTTTTAGGGTTCCACATGACCGACCTCTTCCTTCTGTGTTAATAGATTTGTTAAAAATAAGGGAGTTTTACATACATACCACTTAATACTATTCTATTTACATATTTAACACCTAAAATTTTAATATTACATAAATACCACTCATAGTTCATTTTCATACAAAATATGAGTGGTAGAAATGAAATATATGAGTGGTAGGAAAGAAATATAAGTGGTATATTTGATATTAAAATAATATAGGGTGGTATGGATGTAATATTAAAGTTTTAGGTGTTAGATATATAAATAGGATGTTATAAAGTGGTATGTATGTAAATTTCCCTAAAAAGAATTGATGAGAGTTTGAGCAAGTGGTCGGCAGTTGATCATCTCTGACCCAAGAAATAGTAATGCAGACACAAACGGAATATTCCCCGGATGCCAAAACAGATCAACGGTCGGAAAACAAAACTGAATAGTTTTGACGGCTTGCAAGCCACAGGATTGTGGGCCCATTCGCAGCATCGTTGCAAGTTGTTGGGCCCGCAGGAACCCCGTGGGGGCGACGCCGACGCCTTATCCAGGATGGGATGGCTTTTTACAAAAGCTTAACTTTTATTAATATTTAAAAATTTGATCAGCTCGTATATATTAATCATGAGAAAGAAAATGACTATGAATTTGAATATTCAGCAAAAAAAAAAATTGTGGATGATTAAGAAATTAGCAGAGAGAAAGTTGAATTTTGATGAGTGATAATTTTTAAAATATGAAAAATTTTAGTTGTTCGTAGGTAAATCTCTTTGAAATAATGTTTTTATTTTTTATAAACGTAAAATTTGATTAATATGCATAGATGGATATAAAAATATAATAATAGTGTTAAGGAATTAATTGATGCATCTATAAAATTATTTATTTCAGATCTTAGTGTGTGAAGAACTCTGAACAGTTTGTCCGTTATTCTCATACAAGACGACCGTTACTCCGTCAATGCCGTTTATCTGAATGACTAATTGAAAAAGAGAGCTTAATGGCTACTAATCCCACTTAAGCCACCGCATCTTTCCACAGCTGTTGCCAGCTTCGCCGCATGCACAACGGAGCACATGATCTCCAGCTAAAAGATCCAACTTCTCCTTCAATCATGGCTTCGTAAAGTTTGTGATAATTATCTTCTTCTTCCCTTTTAATACTTATAATATGATTTTCTGCCAGAATTTGATGTGGTCCTACTGTTTGCTTCTCTGCAGATCGTCATTCTGAGCTTAACAGGCTGGAAAGCGCCATTTTTTTGAAAGAAGAAGAAGAAGAAGAAAACACCCAGTAGATTGATCCGGTGGACTCATTCCAGCGGGTCTCTCTCTGGAAGCAGGAAACTTGCTGAAGAAGCTTAGATATTGGCTTTGCTGTTCTTCTTCTTTGCACATTTCGGTTTTACGAGCTGAGATCCGCTTCGGATCTTTCCTCGTTTGCTTGGGTGTGGAAGAAATTTGTTATCTTTATTATTGGTATCATTGAATTTATGATTTTGAACTTGGGAGTTTGGTCTAAGCGGGAGATTTTCTTTTAATTTTTTTCCCTTCGTATCGCACGTAGTACTATAGTAGCCATTTTTTACGGGTTTTTAGGGTTTGAAATGCCCAAATTTGGGAGATACGTTTTGGGGACGGCATGGACTGAAATATCTAGCATTGGATTCTAATTAGGAGCAGTTTGCCACTAGGTTTAGGAAATTGGAATTCTAGGCAAAACTGTTAATCTAAAGATGGAATTTTGGAGATGGAAATGGTGCTTCTCAATGGTTACCGTCACTGCCTTCACTTTTTGCTTTTCCTTTGCTGAATTCATTCCACCAGATAACTATCTCTTAGCTTGTGGTTCTTCTCAAAATGTGTCTGTTGAAGGTCGGACTTTCCTTCCTGATTCAGAGCAATCCTCATTTTCCCTGAAAACCTCAGAAGATACTGCATTTTCTTCCCCCCATAACTCTCTACCTTCCCCGATCTACAACTCCCTCAGGATCTTTTCAGAGCCAGCCTCCTACAAATTCAACCTCCAACAATCCGGCCGCCACTGGATTCGTCTCTACTTTTCCCCCCTTCCTGGCTCCAGCCATGATCTGAGCTCCGTGCTGCTCACTGTTGTCACTGAAGATTTTGTCTTAATGAACAACTTCACCTTCAAGAATTCCAATCTTTCTTACCTCTTCAAGGAGTATTCTGTCAATGTCACCTCCCATTCATTGCTCGTTACCTTCATTCCATCCAATGGATCAATTTCATTTGTGAATGGGATTGAGGTCGTTTCAGTACCTGATGAACTGATTCATGATCAAGCTCTAGCAATCCCAAATGCTCCTTACAGTGGCCTCTCTGAGCGCGGGCTTGAAACCATGTATCGGTTGAACATTGGAGGCCCTTTGCTTACTTCTCAGAATGATACTTTGGGAAGGATTTGGGAAAAGGATGGAAAGTATCTTCATGTAAATGGTTCAGCTGTGAATGTTTCTGTGGATCCTCTTACAATAAAATATCCTGATGGGGTGATACTAGAGACTGCTCCAAAATGGGTCTACGCTTCTGCTGATGCAATGGGAGATCCCAATGTCACTGATTTGAACTTCAACATCACATGGGTTTTCTCTGTTGATCCGAGCTTTCTGTATTTTGTTCGTCTCCACTTCTGTGACATTGTCAGTAAGGCTATGAACACATTGGTCTTCAATGTCTACATTAATTCTGATATAGCTATCCCAAGCTTGGACCTCTCTTCCCTTAATGGATACTTGTCAGTGCCTTACTACAAGGATTTCATTTCAAATTCTTCAAATAATACTAGCAAGATGTATGTAAGTGTAGGTCCTGATAGTATGGCTGACTTTAGCAATGCTATTCTGAATGGACTTGAGATCATGAAGATCAGCAATGACATGAAGAGCTTTGATGGGCTGAATTCTGTGGTAGATCTCCATCAAGCTTCTTCCTCGAGAAAGAATACACTGGCCATCAGAATTGGGACTGTAATAAGTGCCCTTCTTGCTTTGGGATTGATAGCTTTCTGCTGCTGCTTCTTTGTCACTCGCAGGTCGAAGGCCAGTTCTCATACTCAGTCATGGTTGCCTCTTCCTCTATATGGGAACTCCCTCACAATCAGTAAAATCTCAACAATTTCCCACAAAAGTGGTACTGGGAGCTGCACCTCTCTGGCCTCTACTAACCTCGGTCGAGTGTTTACATTTCAAGAGCTCATGGATGCTACAAACAAATTTGATGAGAGCCTGCTTCTTGGTGTCGGCGGGTTCGGCAAGGTCTACAAAGGTACTTTGGATGATGGCAATAGGGTGGCTGTGAAGAGAGGAAACCCAAGGTCTGAGCAAGGTCTGGCTGAATTCCACACTGAGATTGAGATGTTGTCGAAGCTTCGGCATCGCCACCTGGTTTCATTGATTGGATACTGTGATGAACGCTCAGAGATGATCCTGGTTTATGAATTCATGGCAAATGGTCCACTGAGGAGCCATCTTTATGGTTCAAATCTTCCACCTCTTTCATGGAAGCAAAGACTTGAGATTTGCATCGGTTCAGCAAGGGGCTTGCATTATCTCCACACTGGAGCAGCTCAGAGCATAATCCACCGAGATGTGAAGACAACCAATATTCTGTTAGATGAGAGCTTCGTTGCGAAGGTGGCGGATTTTGGCCTGTCAAAGACTGGTCCAGCTTTAGACCAAACGCACGTAAGCACTGCAGTTAAAGGGAGCTTTGGTTATCTCGATCCTGAGTATTTCAGAAGGCAGCAACTAACAGAAAAGTCTGATGTCTACTCTTTTGGAGTTGTTTTATTGGAAGTTTTGTGTGCAAGGCCAGCGCTGAACCCAGTACTACCAAGAGAGCAAGTAAACATAGCAGAGTGGGCAATGAACTGGCAGAAGAAGGGTATGTTAGAGCAAATCATGGATCCAGATCTGGTAGGAAAGATAAATCCTGCTTCACTTAAGAAATATGGTGATACAGCTGAGAAATGCTTAGCAGAGCAAGGAATTGACAGGCCATCCATGGGAGATGTGCTGTGGAATCTAGAATATGCACTCCAGCTTCAAGAAACCTCTGCACTTGCTGATCCAGATGAGAATAGTGTGAAGAGTATTCCTGGTATTTTACTGCCTGGTTTGGAGCCTTTGGATAATAGTGTGAGCATGGCCGAGGGAATGAACTCAGCCGGTTACGATGACGCCGAGGATGCTGCAACTAGTTCTGTTTTCTCTCAGCTTGTTAATCCACGAGGTAGGTGAACAAAATTTCAAACTTGTTATTACAAATGCTATTAGACCTTGCAATGGGGGCTTCATTACAAATATAGAAATATATCTTTTGTAGTATCCCATGTTGTAGCTTGGACTACATTGTGCCGTATTAAACTTATGATCATTTCAGCATATTTGTTTTAGTTGTTTGAGGTTTTATAGTTTGAATATTCAAAGTTCTGTTTTAAGTTCAAAGAGAATCTTCATGACTCTTGTTTTATTGGACTGGGTAAACTGCAGAAGATCTCACTACCTTTTGTCTTGGGGTCTATCTGCTACTATATGCAACACTGCAGATTTCTCTTCTATTTTAGCCCCTGAATAGAGAAATTATTTTGTGCGGATACCGGACGGTCCGGAGACCAACTAGAACGCGCCATGTCACCCACGTGGCACGGTCTGATTGGTCTCCGGATGCCGTCCGGTGTCCGCACAGAATAATTTTTTCCCTGAATAAAGCATTTGAGATATTGTTTATAAAATTCCTGCCAAGTGTTTAAAATTACTAATAAATTTATGCATTTGCGTGTTATATATTAATAATTTAATAAATGATTGAAGATGAAAGTTGATACTTTGGAAAGTTGATACTTTGGGTGATATTATTGTAAATATAGTATTTGAGTGATATTTTTTAAATAAAAAAGATTTCAATAGAATACACAGAAGTGCCTATAAAGAACCTTAGTTCATTATTAAAATTTTAATATTAGTATTTTTGTATTCTAGTCTCCTTTTTTTGAGATAGTGTGATTAAATACCAATTATTTGTCACATTTTTTTATTTTTGTATTCTAGTCACCTTTTTTGGCTACATTTTTGTAAAGAATTATGATTAAACTCTTTAGTTGTTGAAATAACTACTTCACAAAGTGTGAATCTATGGTCAAAAGTGTAATTAAATTCATTCTTTTAATCATAATTTTAAAAAAATTGCAACAAAAGATTAATATTTAGTCACAATTTCAAACAATATGCAACTATATCACAAAATTCTGATAGTAATTTTTAATACCAAGTATGTGGGTGTAAACTAGGCTGATTGATAAAAATTTTGAAAGTTGTTGCTAAGATTTTGAATTTGAATCTTTCAACATGATAAATCCGACCCTGTCAACTTTGTTGTGAGAAAAAAAAAAAATTATAAGAAGACCTTATTTAGTAAGTATGCTGCACAAATGAACTGATTTGTGTTGGAAAATTTTTATTTGTTGGCCTATATTTATACATATAAATTAAGTATTATACATTAGTTGCTATCTAAAATTGAGCCAATTAAATTTGTGATCTATTTAAGAATTAAATTATTATTTGGCTTATGTGTCATTTCATTTGTATGGAATTGAATATTGTTCAAAAAAAGAGAGAAAAGCAAAAAAAAAAACTGCCTCGACACCGTCGTCGCTCGCCATTAAGGTATAAATGCTTTCTAAACTAAAAAAAATTCCAAATCTTGCTTTCGGCGCCCCAGGGGACCACCCATACACGCTCTTCCTAGCGTGGTGGGAGGGAACCTGGTGCGGCGCTTGTGGCAAGGCAAGTAGGCAGGGGCAACCCTAAGTACATGTGTATGTGCCGTCATGATTGAAGAGAAAACTGTATTTTCAAACAGATATCTCAAAAACTCATACACACTCTTCAGAGCGTTGTGAGATTGAAGAAAACCATGACCGCGATGTCACCCGACACCTACCATACACGCTCTTCGTAAAGTGGTGGGAAGACCCAGCTCCCCAAATTTCCCCTAAATGAGGGAGATGCTGGGAAGCTATCGAAATTTAGAGAAAGTAAGAGGACCTGATTTGAACAAAAACATAAAAGACTTGAATGAACTATAGGGAGCCAAATTTACAATTACAGCGAACAAAACTTAATATTTGAAATCAAACCTGTAATATATAAGATAACCAAAATTAAGCACGCGAGCATGTAACTTATGATGAATAAATTCTCAAACATAAATCAAAGATGATGCAATCATGCAAAAAATATAAACACTGAGTGATGGTCTAAATCACTCAAATGAACATAAATGAGTAAACGAAGAACTTCTGGTCTTCAATACGATTCACCCGTGGAGGGACGAATGACTAGCTTGCAAACAACAAAACCCCTTGCAAACATACGTAGTGCAGCACACGATGAATATAATGCTTGCTGGTAATTACGGGAGATTTGACATATACACAATAATACAACTACAAGTGATAATCAACAACAAACAATGAATGCTACAACACCCTTGTAGCCACCAATAATTCAGTGTCAAGCAAATGCAGTAATTCCCTGCAAGCAAAGGAGGTCGATATGCAGCAAATGCAAGCACCTACGAGCCACTGCAGGAAACTCGTCATACACCCAACATGCTATATACATGCAAGATGCAGAAGAAAAGTTGTGAACGCAAGCATCTACGACTGGCACTCGAAGATTTACATTCAATGCAACTCGTCATCAGATATTAATAGAAACCCCGTAATATATACAACGGTCCTGTCTACAAGCAATGACGGTGGATGTATCGCAAGAATGATGAATCCCCTACAGGCATAAAGGATGATATTGCAACGAGTGCAACACGCTGTCTACATGCAAAAGTAACAAGGGTCGTGATAAATGCAAGCATCTACAAACAACTGCAGGAGATTCGTTAGTGCACGACAGTCTACCTGTATAAATCAACAAATGTCTTGCAGCGTAAAAATTGCGGGCCATTGGTAAACTGAGTCAATAAATTTGTGGTGACAGGCTCGCACACCAGATAAATCAGTTTACCCACCGGTGACAGGTAGGAGGTTCTTGACACAATACAATTTGTTCGTAAGGTTAATTATACTCCTGCAAACTGAATGTTGGAGAAGATGACAACATGCATGAGATGAAATGAGTCATACTGCATCGCAAATACATAACAAATGAAACCTAGCGCTGCTAAACAACGCCATTGGATCCGCAACATGCATTCAGGGGGACAGAAAACATCTACCAATTCCAAATTAAAAATCATGCATACCTATCAACATGGGTCATTTGCATAGCTGATCATTGCAAAAACATCCCCCCCCCCCACCCCCATGCTCCGAAATGCACGCTAACACATTCACATACATGCATATATCCGCAATATATAGGATGCATCATGCAAATCCTCCATTCAGCAAGTAAAATGCACCATGTATATACATATTGTAATATACAAAATGCACTATGCATATACAAGTGTATGACACAAGCATATCATGACTGTATGTAATTAGGAATGAGTAAACATATTGCAGGCATCCTCACCTAATATATAAATATATCAAATGTATACACATTATCACATACAAGATATCCATTTGCAATATGCAATATGCATCATGCAAATATATCATGCAGGATACAAATATATATGTCAACATACATGTATATATGCAATTGCCGCACAAACACATTACGCAAAATGCATGCAAAAGTATATATTGTATGGGCTTTGATGAGCACGATATACGCACACCCATTTGAGGATGCTACACAGGTCTAGAAATGAACTTAAGCTTGAGTTTGATCCTTCTATATGAATAGATAAGAGTCGACATGGCTCAAGCTACCAAATTAATGTACGGTCGCGAAAATGATCGATATATTTATTTTATATGTTCATATTAGGCATTTAAGATCTATAACAAAAAATTCTCTAATAAAGGCATAAAGCCGATAACGAACCCGATCCTCTATTGGCAAGTTGACAGAGTTGATAATGTTCAACTGATAAAATAAATATGAGGAATGTAGCATTGATGATAATGTTCAACTGACAACGAACCTGTAACACCCCCTACTTGATTATATATATATATATATAGTGTAAGAGGAATGTAGCATTGATGAAAGTTATTCTCCTTTTACTCTTAAGCTTTGTGTTTGTTCTTGGATTGGAATTTCCTTCTAGCAAGTCATTTTCTTCGGACAATCCACTGAAGATATTCTCTTCATCCATTACATCAGTTTTATCATAATCACTTTTTATTAAAAAACCATAAATCTCACAGCACATTAGATGACAATCTTGACATGATTTTTGCAAACATTCATCATATATGTTTTTATATTAACTTAACAACATAACACAACATAAAACTGCATAACAAATAACAAACACCTGATAGCACAAAGCAAGACATCAACACCAAATGGAGACAAAGCAACAAGACATATATTTCATCAGCATCAGCTTCTCCACTGGAGAAGCTTCCTTTTGCAGGAGCTGAAGTTTTGTAACTTGAAAACATGCAGAACTCATTTCTTGCGACATATCAAGCACTGTTCTCCAGATAGCTCGCCAGAGCTTTGAGGTACTCGCCAATTATATTGGTAATATCCTTCACAACTTGTGTAGTACCATCAATCTCTTTATCCAACTCATAGTTTATAGTAGTTTTTACCAAGGTTTTGTTTTCTTCCAAGTCATCAAGCTTGAAAGATACTTTATAAGAAGCAAATCCTAGCTGCAGAAAGCCTCCTTCTATCCCCTGGAAGCTTACAAAATGGCCGGCTTCATCAAACTCGACTATCTTCTCCTTGAATGGTGGAATATGTGCTGCAGCTATATGGAGGATTGTAAAGAAAAATATAAGATGATTAGAAATACCATATTTGAGAGTAAATATGAATGCTCGATTCGAGCAATCCAAGCACTTTATAAGCATAAGAATTATATGCTCATCATTAGATATTAGGAATTACATTCAATTCATACGTAGCAACTGGTATAACAAAATTCAAACATGCATTGACGCCGGCGAAGAGAGGGTGACGCGGCTACTGATAGAAATGCAAGAGCTGTCGGAGTCGGGTAGCTCACATAACCCAAGAACTCTTTCTTGAGAGGGAATCACCACATGAAATCCTTCAGGATACAAAAACCCAAAAACAGAGTAATACGTATATTACTTTGTTTTTGGGTTTTTGTATCCTGAAGAATTTCAGGTGGTGATTCCTTCCGAAGAAGTTCTTGGGTTACGCGTGGCGTCATGCATTACCTATCACCTATATATCAACAGAAAATTACAGTACAGAAGACTGAAAGCTCACCATCGCCAATTTTTATGGAGACGAGGGTACCAAGGCCTCCATCGCCTTCAAGCACCTGTGAATCAGTCAGCAGGTGCGGTGCTGCTTTGTGAAGAACATCCAATTTATCCTTCGTTAAAGCATTCCATAGTGCCTCAAAACCAACATTAAATTCAGTTTGGAGTTCAATCTTGCTTGCCATTAATTCTCTTTTAACTAACTTACTGAACAAATCGTTTGTCTTGGTACGCAAAGAGTGGGAACTCCCAGGCTTTATTTATAGCAATGAGATTTAGGGTGGTTGGTGGGCGAGCAAAGTTGGGAACCCTCGTTCCAGGTTTGAATCTCCTCTACTACTGCCTCGCTTCTTTAGTGAGGTAAAGCAAGTGTGGACCCGATGCCTATGAGTTGCCTCGCTAGATTCCGCCGAGGAATTTTAGTTACGGCCACAAAGCGCTCTCTCTTTAGAGTGGCAGCCGGAGAGAGGATCTCTTCATTGCATATTTGCATGGTTATAATAAGACAAAATAACAAGATTCTCTGGTTGTTTACAGACATTTTGCACTCTTTAAATAAATTCTATATTTAGTATTTATTTAATTCTATTAAAAATATGCAAAAGACTCCAATTTTGTTTCTAGTTTTTTCTTATATTTAAGTTTCCTTTGAAATAGTTTTTCTTAAAGCAGCTTAGGGGTGTAAGTGAGCCGAGCCGGCTCGAACTCAACTCGTTAACGAGCTCGCGAGTCGAGCTTATCGAGCTTCGAGCTCGAGAATTCTAATGATAAACAACAATTTTATGTCACAGATTTTTCTGGAAAGTTGAAAAAAAAAAAAGTCAAGAAAGCATAGCCAAATAGAACTAAGACTGTCCAAAACATACCTATAAGCTGTGATTAGAATTATCATTTGATTTGGTAAGTTCACTTTTTTAAGGGCGAATATTTCCTTTACAATAAAGTGATAATGACTTAAATTAAAATATATAATATAATAATTTAATTAAAAATTATTTAAAAAAATATTTAAATGGTTCAAATCTCAAAGCCTTGGACATTATCGATCAGTAGGCCGGTTCTTAGGCTTTAAGCGCTCTGTTTTACACCTCTGTCGTTCTTTTGCTCAAACTAAGTAAGAAAATGGGGCATTTGGCTAGCTTAAGCCAGTTTTAATAGCGATATACTCGATGGAAATATTAGAATTGCCGTCGTGGAGAAATTATTTTGTGCGGATATCGAACGGTTCGAAGACTAATCAGATCGCATCACATCATCAAGCATCAGTACCGAGCAAAAAAGTAACGTGAAACGTTCTGGTTAGTCTCCGGACGCCGTCCGGATTCACACAGAATAATTTTTCCGTTGTTGCATGAGATTATTAGACAATATAATCATATTCGTAAGAGTTAAATTCATCAATCCATCATAAGAAAATGAATTTGAATTAACAATTGATTAATATTTCTATAATGATTTATAGTTTTTATTCAATTTCAAAGTAAATCAATTTATATATATCACCCATTCAAGCATTTAAGATAGCCAATCTTCCAATTTCTAGCATAATCTAGCCAAAGTTGATTACTTATTCTGTGCAGACGCCGAAAGCAGTCTGGAGACCAACTAGAATGTGCCATGTCACCCCCTTATTTGATATCACGGCTCTTTATTGCTCGATATTGTGGCTCGGTATCATTAACGTGACACAATTCTGATCTCCACACAGAATAATTTTTCATGCAACAATAAGAGAAAAAGCCAAATAACAGCCCACCCACCTTTATATATGGCTGAAACTGTCCAAGCTATGAAAGTTTAACATGTATGGTTTATTAGTCCAACAAAATATTGCTTTCACATTTAACAGATATTTTTTTTCCAAAAAATAAGTGCCAAAACAATTTTTTATGTAGAAAAAAATATTTAGAAATCTTATTAATAAATTTATTTTTTATATATATTTATATAAATTATTTCTCACCCTCAATAATGTAATATTCTATATTATAAATTTATGTTCATAAAGTTTCTATGTTTTTATATTCCACGTCACTTTTTTGCTTGGTGCCGGTGCAAGGTACTGGGTGATGTGGCACATTCTGGTTGATCTCCGACTCATCTGGTGCCCGCGCAGAATAATTTCTCTCAATGTACGTCTATTTGACAAATTAGACAATGTAATGTATTCCTCAAAATTATTTCAAATGGCATTTATGTTAACAAAGTCACATTAGTAGTAATTCTCTAAAAAAAAAATTTAACTGACGTCCCTAAACACTATAAGTATTTTAAGTTTATGATCAAAGATTACTTAAAAACATGATTAATTTTTATCATATTTAAAAAGAAAAACTAAGATTAAAAATATAATCATTAATTTTCTTTTTTATGTAATACTAAGTTTTTTATATTAAGATTATTATTTGTTTGACTATAAAAATTTTAATCATAATTATATATTTTAAATATGGCTAACTAGCTATTTAATTTTAGTCATAAACATTTACATTATTTAATTTAAGTTGATAAATTATTCTTCTAATCACATTTATCAAGAAAAAAAAATTATGACTAATAATATAATCTCAAGATAAAGGTTTAAAGTTTTTAATTATATCTAATAAATTTTCTATTGGATTAATAAAAGATGTCCTACTTGATAAAATTTTGAATTAATTTGTTTAAAATAAATTATATTTAAATAACAAAAATATTATCTATGATAATTGGTAACTTATTTATGAATAAAATATAATGAAAGTGTCAAAATTTCTGTAACCAATGAGAAGAACTATGTTCTACAGTCAGATTAAATCCAAGAAGTGCTTGCAACAGGCAAATGGAGTCTGGGAACCACCAATTCCATTAATTTCCATATAAATAGAGTCTGGGAGCTCCAATTCTCTGCATGCCAAGGCAAGCTATTTGTTCAATTCAGCATCAAAGTTAGCTAAAAGGTAATTAATGGCAAGCAAGCTAGAAATCCAAACTGAACTTGAAGTTGGTATTGAGGCTCTTTGGAATGCTATAACAAAGGATAAACTCGATCTTCTTCGCAAAGCAGCACCACAGCTGTTGACTGATGCACAGGTGATTGAGGGTGATGGAGGCCTTGGTACCCTCACCACCATTGATATCAGTGCTGGTGAGCTCCTAGCTCTTCATGTTATGTAGGTCATTTGTCTCATATAATAATGTTTTTGAATTAACCATTCATATACTCAGGAGTGGAACCGGCCTTAATTTTCAGGGGCAATAAATTTATAAGTAAAAACATAGAATTTGGCTCGACTCCTATTTATTCATGTCCTTGATCATTATATGCTTCACAGATATGTCGGAGGTCCAAGGAGGCAGAGCCCCCTGACGGGAGATAAATTGCCTAAAGAATTATATAATAAAGATTTTTTTTTTAGGGGGCAACTGCCTTTCTTTGACTTAAGATGGATCCGGCCCTGCATATACTTAATTACTTTCAAATATGATATTTCTAATCATCTTATATTTTTCTTAATACATCATCGTGCTTCATAAAGCTGCTCCTCATGTTCCACCTTTCAAGGAGAAGATAGTGGAGTTTGATGAAGCCAACCATGCTGTGAGCTTCCAGGGGATAGAAGGAGGCTTTCTGAAGCTAGGGTTTACTCATTATAACGTATCTTTCAAGCTTGATGACTTGGCCAATGGCAAAATCTTGGCAAAAACCACTATAACATATGAGTTGGAAAAGGACATTGATGGCACTCAACTTGTGGAAGAGTTCTCCAATTTTGCAGTCGAGTATCTCAAAACTGTGGCCACCTATCTGCAGAAGGCCAGTTAGCAACAACAATAATTTATATGTATTATTACTGCTGTTGTTTGATCTACGTTTACGCTCCGTTTGGAACGGTTTTGTTACTATTTTTTAAAGTAACTTTTTAGTGCAAGCAGTTAAACTTTTTGCACTAAAAAATTACTATAATAAACAGTAACAGAAGTGTCCCAAACCAAGCCTTAGGCTTCGTTTGGGACGACTGTCTTCTTGTTTTTTAAAATAACTTTTTAAAAAATCATTTTAAAAAGCAGTACGGAAGCTGTTCCAAATAAAGCCTTCCTCTGAGTACACTGTATTTTTCTTGTGTGGTGATCGATGAGAATCTTTAAAAATTGTTATATCAGCTTTTATATTATGGGTGGTATGTTTAGTAGTATGCAAATGGCACCATATTGATAAGGGAGCTCAAGTACTCTCCCTCTTAATTTGGTGCTTAATTTGAATAAAGACAATTGTGTAATTGCAAATGATGCACTGTATGCAATATTTCTTCTTTTGTTTAAGGACTTGTGGTTAAGTAAGAAATTGGAAGCAAGCGTGATGAGCTCCATTTTCTATATTAAAAATTTCATGATCGATTTACTAATATTATTTTGCTGTCATAATTATTTACTAATTATTTTGTTAATCTTGTTGCTTAAACTGCAGTTGAAGTTGATCTCAGCAAAATTTAATATATTATCCTAATAATCAATAATTACATGCTTAATTATTATTATTATTATTTCCAGATAATTAGACTAATTTATTATCATAATGAGTAATTTTTAACTACTCATATGAATTAATCCCTAATTAATATAATTTATATGAAAATTTTAATACCATAAATATTAAGTAATACCTTAGATTAAGTAAGCTTATAATTAGAGTTAAATTTAAATAGTTTTTTATTAATTAAGAAGTACGTAAGATGATTAGTTGGTTTAATTTCACGTAGATCGATTAATTAATAGCTAGGTCAATTAATCTAAGAATAAATTATCCAAACTAATTATGATGATTAGTAATTAATAACTTCTCTAATATAAAATTTTATTTAATTTTAACATACATTTAATCAAAAATGAAATGAAATCAATTAGATATGAATTTTTTATAAGGTTGTTAATTCAGCTAATTAGAGTGTAATTATACAATAAATATTTTTATGCGATAATTAATGAGAAAGTTAAGTTATCTAAGCCATTGGTTGATTTTAGGATTTGTTTTTTTGTTAACTAGAAAGAGATTTTATTTCAACAGAAAAGGGGCGTACAACTATCGAGCCAAGAAAGTCAAAAAAGAGAAATACAAAGCTGAAAAACCACATTAAACGTCAAAAAGCAAATTAAAATGGAAAGGATATATAACAAATTAACGACCAAAAGTGTCAGATTCAGAATCGCCATCCGGTTGTCAAAACAAGCCATGACGTCAGGGGAGCGTGCAGAAAACTTGCATCATCATTATCTGAAAAACAAAAGCCAACATCCCACAGTCTTGCCAACCCAACTTCCGAATCCACGCCAACTCAAACCAAAGAAAAATGAAGTCTGGCCTCCAACAAGCCCACCACCAAAGGAACAGCCCAGCTAAAAGAGACAAAAAATATCAAAGTTCCATCAATAAAACGACTTACTGCCTTCTAGAGTTCCTTCTACCACGTTTAGCTCCCCTCCGAGCAAAAGCTTTGTCACCACTCCAATTATCCTTCAGTATAAAAATAGCTTGAACATCATCTTCAAACTCAAGGAAATCTTCCCTAACACCCTCGTAAGGTGAGGAGTCATACTCCTCAAGCCAGTCATTTTGCACCACACCTGCTAATTGAACTTTCAAGATCTCATTAGATATTAGTGAAACAGGGACATCAACTAAAAGTTTATTTGACGGTTCCAACAAAATCGCAGGAGATTCCATACATCCAGTAGCCAAACCAGGCGAATTCACAACATCCCCATTCACAATAGACACATCAGACAATGTACCCACCAAAGGGCTCAGCTCAACACAGTCCCTAGAAATAACATCCACTAGACTATTCGGAGAAGTAATAGGACTAGCAATAGAATTAACCATACAATTATTATCACCATTGACAACCTCTCCAGTTTTACACGGCAAAATCAATGGCGGACCAACAGTTATCAGAATAGAACCCACATCAATGGTACCAGCAACTTTTTCAACATTAGCCACACCAAAACCAGATCATCCAATTGGTTGATTTTAAAATTTTTATGTTAATAAGTAGTTTATTAGGATTGGATTTAATGATTAATAATAACAGTCATAGTAATTTTTTTTAATTATGTTACATTAATAATAAAAATCAACTGTATTTAATTATTTATTAATCAAAGATTAGCATATTAAAATAGTTTTATATGAATATTAGAAATGTCATGCAGAGAATACACAAAATTAATTTTTAATATGAAGACTAAAAAGAGAATAACCACAAAACAGGCTAGTTAAAATAGTTTTTACTCGTTATAGCTGCGTTAGAATTGGCTCTCTTCGTCAAAAGTTGGATAGGGTAGCATAATATAATGTAAAACACTATAACTTTGTTGAATGTCTCATGCAATGTTGGTGAATAGGATCATAGATGTTGATTATGATAGTTTTGACTTAAATGTTAGACTTGAAGTACTTTACTAGGTTTATAGCTCACATTTGAGCAATTGCATTTAGGTTTGTTTTCAACACAAGATAAAGTCTTAGCTAAGTAGTAGTAGTGAGTAGAGATGGAAATGAACAAAATAATATGGAGTTGATTAGAAACTCTAGACAATAAGGTAATCTCTTTCCTAAAAAGATGGTGGATTTGATGTTTTAGAGCGATGAGTCTAAGTGACTCAATGGCGGTCAGGGCAATCCATCTCATTGAAGAATGTATAATGGAGTGACTTGAAGTAGATGGATGACTAGAGGAGGTTGGGATAGCTTGTAGAAGGAATTGGATGACCTAAAGTTACAGGATGACTAGAAGTAATCACTATGCTCCCATTGTGTCATAGTTGAAATGATTTCCAGCTTGTAGAAGTAATCACAGCTGAAATGATTTTCATTGTGTCAGTAACAAATGATGTGTGAACTTTTTTTGTGATTGGAAAAGGAGTTGATATGATATGATAAAAATAACAAAAAGTTAGAAAATTCAATGGCATAGGAGTTACTTTCAAGAGATAATTCATTATATATTTGGTTATACTCCTTTGAGGATGGGAGATTAGAGACCAATATATACAACATAAATCCTAGTGCTAATGGTAGAAGTTAGAGATGATGTTCACAATGTGCATCGATTTTATAAGTGATGGCATTTGTTGGCATATGCAATGAATTCAGTGGAAGTTAAATTACCTAAGTGATAATGGTGAGATGATTATAAGTTAAGAGATGGTAGTCAGTTAATAATAGCCAAACGACCGTAGTCGATGGTGGTCAGAAGACTGTAGTTGGGTGTTAGTTAGATGATTGTAGTCGAACGATGAAAGTCAGAGGGCGATAGTAAAACAACTGTAATTGTAGGATCGTAATTAGGAAATGGTTGTCAGATGACCATACGGTGGTCACACGGCCTTAGTGGGTGACTATAATCAGAGGACTATAGTCGTACAATAGTGGTTAGAGGGTCGTAGTCATGTGACCATGGTCGAAGAACTACAGCCACACAACAACTGTTAGAGGGGTAAAATCAGCAATCATTGTCAAAATGTAGTGGTCGAGCGATGTTGATTGGAGGATCATAATAATCAAACGAATTGAAAAAATTTAATCAGACAATAGTAGTTGGAGGACAATGATCTAAGGACTATTATCTGCCAGCTGTAGTGCAATGATAGTGGTTGGGTGATATTGATGATCACAAGCTAGCGATAATTGGGCGATGGTCTAATAGTGATGATCAGATGATGGTTTGATGGTATTGTTTGAGTGGAGCTCTAAGATTCTTCATGTAATATTTCCCTTTGTTTTCATTTTCTTTTACTGATTTATTTTGGGTTTGTTTGTTTTGGGACTAAGTTTTATTATCCTGTTATTAAATGGAATTTTATCTTTTTTGGAAAAAAATAATATCAAATAAAATAATAGCTTAACATCAAATCTTTAACAAAATTACTAGTTAAACAACAAACAATTTTTTTCATAACCATAAATAATGCATTGGACTACTCAAGATTGATTTATTTAACCTTTAAATTTTAAAATTAAGCCTAATGTAATTACTAACTTAAACTGACATTAGTAACTAAAACTAACATGAACAAATGTTAACTAAACCAATTTAAGTCATTCATCCAATGAATTGATTCACTAACAACCTTTATCTTAACAATAAAGAAAAGAAAGAAAATTTTACATAAGATCTAATCTTTTTACTTTAAAAATATATTATCCAACCTTCTTTCATCAAATAATTCAAAATTTTAAAATATTTTTAACCTTTTTTAAATAAATTTTCTTTCTTATTAAATAATTCAAAATTTTGCAAAATTTAAGAGAGCTCCATTTAAAGATGAAGTTATCTTGTTCTTGTGACTCTGTTCTAGATTCTTATTCCATAACTTGGAGGAGAAGAAATTGCATTTAATTTCGTGGTCCAATGTTACCCAACCTAAAGCTAATGGAGGGCTGGGATTACCTTCCATTGATGCTATTTACTTTGGAGTTTCTTGTGGCATTCTGGGCAGATTTTATAATTCCAAGAATTTGTTATGTGGCTGGTATAAGGCCAAATACCTATCTCCTTGGAAATCTCCTCCATCCTCTGCTTCTAAATTCTGGCACAAAATAACTCAAACTGCTATTAACATCAAAGAGAGGATTACCTTTAATGTCTGTCATTCTTCTACTTTTTCTTTCAAGTGGGACCCTTGGCTCAAAGACATTGTAATCTCAGATTTTATTGGCTCGGGCATGGATGATGTTTTAGTTAGAGATCTTTTGATTAATGGTACTTGGACTTTGCCAAATTCTATTCCCTTTTTGCTGGTTGACTATATCAAAGCTGTGAAGTTTTCGGATAGGGAGGAGGTGTTATGGAATGGATCTGCTAAATGGGCTTTTAATAACTTTATTGCACATTTCTATTCTGGCTGTTCTAAGGTTGAATGGCACCCTATGATATGGCATAAACATCATGTGCTTAAATTTGCTTGTTTTACTTGGATGGCGGTGATTGGTAAGCTTAAAACTGCTGACAACTTACATTTTAGAGGAATCCCGGTGCATATGAACTGCTCTTTGTGTTCTGGTAACTTAGAGAATCATTATCACTTATTTTTTGATTGTGAGTTCTCTTTCTACATCATTAAAGCTATGCTACCGGACCTCAATTCATTTTTGCTTAGGCCGAATCTGCTTCAGGTTTTGGATTTTATTGGCAATGCTGTGTCCTATTCTAAACCTGAGAAAGATTTTTGTTTCCTTACCATTAGTTGTATGGTTTATTATATTTGGAAAGAGAGGAATCAACGGCGATTCTCTTCGAAAAGGAACAATATCACAACAATCATTTGCACAATCAAAGAAGCGGTTAGACTCAAAACATCAAAATGGAAGAACATAAATCATATTCTGCAGAAGTTTTCGGGTTTTTAAGGTTTCTGATGTTCACCCGTTGGCTGGAGTTTTGCTTCTTGTGCTGGTGCAATCTTTCACTAGCACTTTTTTGGTTACACTCTACATTTCAGACCTGGGAAGATAATTTTTTGGGATTCAGTCCTTATTGCTGTTGGCTTTATCCAGTTTTTTGTGGTAATTCAGCATATCATTTCTCGGGTATACGTCAAAGACAACTTTCGGCAATGGAGTTATTGGCTGGGCATACCAACAATGATGAGCAAGGTGAAGATTTTGAGCCATGGATGGCCTTTCGAGGCAACCTGGCTTATCCGTGCCTAATTCTGATGAAGGCTGGAGGTACTGTGATGGCTGGATCTCAAGTGGTGGACTTCTGCTGGCAACCAGTGCCACCGCCTGGGAATATTCTGTACACCAAGATTATTCTGAACGATCTTCCTTTTGCCTTATTTTCTGAGTCTTTAGTTATTCCCAGCAACTCCTTTGCTTAAGGTTGTCTTTGTGTATAATTTTGTTAGGTTTTTGTTCTCTCAGGTTACTTGTAATTTAACTTTGTTTTCTTAATATATGAGCCTTTTGGCTCCGGGTTTACCCAAAAAAAAAAAAGTTGTTATCAAATAATTCAAAATTTTAAAATATTTTTAACCTTTTTAAAATAATTTTTCTTTCTTATTAAATAATTCAAAATTTTGCAAAATTTAAGAGAGCTCCATTTAAAAGATGAAGTTATCTTGTTTTAAAATTCACAGCCATGCTACACCTTTATCTTCTCCTAGATAAGGCTTGCTGTTGTTTGGTTCAAATTTGTTCCAGCGAGAAAAAAAGATATTATCTTCTATGCTGTTTGGTGCTAAAAAAGAAGAGCCAATCTGCCCACAAATGTTGCTGAATTGTAGGTTGTCTCCTTCATCAAGAAAACCAAGATTTGCTGAGACTGGAAATTCCAGACTCATTAGAGGATCAGAAGGAGATGGAAAGCCATTACTAAAACTTCAGTTTTTGCACCACAGAAAAACGAACAATGCAGGCATCAAACCTTCTTATTATGTGGCTTTGTTACAAGAATGTTCAAGGAAAGGACTTCCTGAGGGAGGACTCCAACTTCATTCAGACATTATCAAGAGAGGCCTCGAATCGAGTTACATGCTCCAGGCTCAATTGTTGAATCTGCACATCAAATGTGAAAGCCTCCTTTTTGCTCGCATAATTTTTTATGCAACGACCATTAGAACAAGCCTTATTTCTTAGAATTCTATTATCACAGCCTATTGCCGGGCTCGAAGAAGAAGCCTTATCGATGTTTTTGGAGTTGCGGATAAATGGATTACAGCCAGATGAGTTCACTTTCTCCATTGTCATCAGAATTGCAGAGTTGTTAGAAAACCTGCCTCTTGGAAGGCAGCTGCATTCACTTTCTATCAAGGAAGGATATGGAAAAGAAGAATATGTTGGCAATTCTTTGATTCTAATGCATGCTTCCTTTTTTAATCTATTAGATTCTGTTAAAGTATTCAGAAGAGTCATGAAATCTGATAGTCCTGTGAGCTGGAACTCACTTATTGACCAGCTTGTTGAAAATGGATACCCTAATGATGGAATCAAAATATATAAGAAAATGCATGAAAATGGAGTTGCTCCAACCCCTCTAACTCTGAGCAGTGTACTCAAAGCTTGTGCAGCAGTTGAAGCAATCTCAGAAGGAACACAAGCGCACACCCAGATGATTGTCCGCGCATTTCTCCCCAATTTGATTTTGGAGACTTCATAGATCGATTTTTACGTGAAAAACAGAGAATTGGTATACGGAAGACGAATTTTCGATAGAATGGAAGAAATAAATGTACTCAGTTGGAACTCACAGATTCGAGGATATTCACAGGCAGGTCAAAATGAAGAAGCTTTGAAGCGGTTTCAGACAATGAGAAGAGAAGGGGTGGCTCCTGATGAGTATACACTTCCAGCTTTACTCTCAGGAGCTGTGCAGGTAGAGACTCTTCCTGAAGAATTCAGATCATTGCATGCATATATCATCAAAGCTGGCTTGCAAACCAATCGGTTTGTCGCAACTTCTCTGATCACTATGTACATTGCAACGCAATCATTTGACGATTCAAAATTGGCATTTTATGATGCTAATTCTCGAGATATTGGTGTTTGGTCCGCCATTATATCTGCAAGCACAAAGATTACAGAAGGCGAAGTGTCTTTTGGATTATTTTACGGGATATTGGATTTGGAGATTAAGCCAAACCAGTTCATCTTTTCAAGCCTATTCAAAGTTTGTGGTATTCTGTCAGTAATGGAAATGGGCAAACAAATCCATGCCTACAGCCTAAAAAGCAGAGATTTTTCCGACCCCGCAACCCAAAATTCTCTCATAACCATGTACTCGATTGCGGATGCATCGAAGAAGCGGTTAAGGTGTTTGACTTGTTGAAGAACCCAAATATTATATCATTCAATTCAATCATTTCAGCACTGGCTCAGACCATCCAGAGAAAGCCATTAAACAATTCAATAGAATGGAAGTTCTTAACTTGAAGCCTGATGCAATCACTATATTGAACCTGCAAACAGCTTTCAATCATGCCGGTTTAATCAAGAAAGGATTACATATATTCAGTTCAATGGAGGACAAATTCGGGATCAAACCAAGACATCCATATTCTGCTTGCGTTGCGGATTTGTTGGCTCGAGCTGGAGAGATAGAAGAATCAATAAAATTCATAGACCAAATGCCTTTCAAACCAGAAACTTCTCTATGGAGGATGATTCTAGGAGTATGCAGTAAGCATCAGAAGATTGAAATTGGAAAGCAGGTGGCACAATTACTTCTAGAATTAGAACCTCATGAGGCCACTAATCATGTACTCCTGGCCAACAACTACTAAGGGTGGGGAGATGGACTGAAGCTGAAAACATTAGGCAGGAAATGAATGCGAGAGGCATAGAGAAAGAAATTGGGCAAAGTTGGATTGAAAACAACAAAAGAATCCATAAATTTGGTGTTGAAGACCAATCTCATCCTCTTACAGAAGAAATATATAAGAAGCTTAGAGAACTTATCGTAGAGATCAAGGCAGCTGGGTATGTGCCAGATGTAAGCTTCACAGTTCATGATATTGGAGATGATAGAAGAGAAGAATCTCTTTACTATCACAGCGAGAAGCTGACCTTTGCTTATGGAGATCTCTCAACTAATCAAGGAGTAAAGCTTAGAATAATAAAAAATGTGAGAGTATGTGCTGAATGCCATCAGGCATACAGATACTCTCCCTGATCACTGGTCGAGAGATTGTGCTGAGAGACAATAGAAGGTTTCACCATTTCAAATGTGGGGTTTGTTCCTGCGGCGATTACTGGTAATAAAAGTTATGATTATGACAACTCCGCAAGTGAAAAGAAGACAATACAACAATAACAACAAGTCTTTATCCTACTATTTGCGGTGAAAAGAAGACAATATCATAAATAAATGCCATTCACAGCTTCCTAGTTCCAAATTTTTCAGACTTCAATTCTAAAACGTTGACAGAGTTCTCAGGCAGATTTAACATGGTCATAAAATGAGGAAAAATAAATAATCAATCCCGTGCAACTAAAAGTTGTAGTTTGCAAAGGAAACAATGATGATTTTCTGTGAATGGAGCCATGAAGGCTCAAGAATGGGACGTTTAATCCTCGCAGAAAAGAATCAGAGCTAAGTTAAGAAAGGCTTCTCTCAAGTGTGCGCATTTCTGGTGAAGTCAATGCAGATCTGGCAGCTGCATTCGGTGAAGCGGCAGATCTCACAGCCAAAGCAGACGCAACTGGTGCAACCTTTGCACGAAGGCGATCGAGAGCATCCTCTCAGGACCTTGCGGCTTGCTCGTTCCTCCTCATCATCGCAACGTATCCTGATACATGCTCGAAATGCATTAAAAGTGGCTGAAAAGAGCATGTTAATTGCTTCAGGAAATAAGGCAAAATATTTTTCATATGTGAATAAGTAACAAAAGAAAATTAGCTAGATTCTATCTTAAATCCATCCTAGCATGGGCTGCTGTAATCCTCACTTGATTGAGACCAATGCTTGAAAAGTTTCCACTTTTCAAATAATCAAAAGTTTCTCGGAAAATTAGTTTAAATTTAATACTGTCATACTGAATGACAATACTTTTTTCAACATTTAAGATGAGTACCTCTTAGTTCATAGAAATAGATGAACTTTTAGTCTTCCAAAGCAGCCAATATGGAAAAAGTGTTCAAATGATGCTTTGAGGTGTTTAAAATGTTTCAAGAGTAGTTGGAGTAGAGGTGGAAGATTTAGGATTAGTAGAAGACAGAAAAAGTTGACTAATTTGGGATTTTTTAGATAAGAGTTTTGGATGAAACTTTATGCCAGTATAAGAATGGATTTTCTTTGATGGAAAATTATAAGGACTTTTATATCAAGGGTTTGGGATGTTAACTAACAAATTATGTTGATTTTAAATTAATTGGATGTGTGGTAAAGAAGTCATGAATTTTCGTCGATTGGTCGCAGGAACATGACAACTTGAGTTAGGGTTTAAAAAAGGGATATGGCTTGATTTTTGTGTAAGTTGCAGAGTATCTGTAGATTTTAAGTGCATCAAGCAATACAATGTATGCAGTTGTTGAGATTAATGCTTCGTTTGGGACGACTTTCTTCTTGCTTTCTAGAATAGCTTTCTTGTACAAAAATTTTCTGAATTTGAAAATTTTGTACTAGAAAACTATTTTAAAAAGCAGTATGAAAGTTGTCCCAAACAAAACCTAAATTTAATTTCAAGATGGCTTGATTAAGGCTTCGTTTGGGACGGCTTTCTTTTTGCTTCTTAAAGAAGCTTTTTAGTACAAAATTTTTTAATTTTGTACTAGAAAACTGCTTTAAGAAGTAAAAAGACAACCGTCCCAAATGAAGCCTAAGTATAAGATCTGCTTCTCTTAAAATAAAATTGATTTGGTGGATGAAAAAAATGGTGGAGAGGTTCTAAGATAGGGTGGTCCTTATGATGATGGTGGTGCCTCTTTGGATTTCTGTGCTTATCCCTCTTTTATGACAAATGCTATGAGGTTTTGGATCTTTTTGACTTTGCTATCAAATGATGGGGAGGTGTTGAGAAGACTTCAAGGGTTGTTGGATAGATTAGGCTTGGTAAAAGGCTAAGAGAAAATATGAATTAGTTTAGGATCTTTTTAACATATTTCTACATGAACTTTTATAGCATTAGAACAATAATAAGCTTGAAACTAGATATGCTTCCGTCTAATCTTCCCAACAATGGCAATAAGAGCCAATCAAAAACACATGGGGAAATCATGAGAGTACCATCAAAATTTTCCTAACTTATAGACCTATCATTCGAGTAGGTATATTTATGATAATACTGTCCAAATCTTAAAAAGCACAATTAAACTATCAATTTTCATTCACAAATACTTGTTAAATGCTTGATGATTTGATTGGATCACATATAAAAATATGGGTTTGCTAATTCATTTTAAATACATGGGAAGTAATATTGTAAACAAAAAAAAATTTGATGTTACACATGAAAATATCTCAAAAATTAAATTCCTTTATAGAAATAACTAGGATTAGAGTGATAGAACCAAGGTCATTTTGAAAACAAATGACCTGACTGCAATAAGCAGGCAAAAACTTATTTGAACACCATGAGAACGTAAAAGAGAGGAAAGAAAACTAGAAAATCAAGAACTCTGAGATTTAGGCATTGTTTGCCACAACTTATCTCCTACTGAACTTTCCAACAGTTTACTAAATTTCATCTTTATAAGTGAAGATTTCAATTTTGCATTCAAAATGAGTGAAAACAAAATCATCACTTATGAACTACAAGCAAATAAATGAACCATAAGGGAAATCAATGGTCTATTTCTCACTATCCAATCCCCCATAAGCATAAAAATTAGCCTATGGAGGTTGGTGAATAACCTGAAAAGTATATCATGGGATGCCCCTCTGATTAGACAAGATTACGGGAAGAATAATTTTATCGACACAATTGGAAAACAATATATAAAATATGCAGTAGAGCACACCCACAATTGAACAAAGATATCAAACATTATATTATTGTACATATAAAAAGAAAGATGGTGGGGCAATAGGATTATTAAGCATTTTTGTGTGTGCGCAGAAAACTATGTGATTGAAGCTCATAATGAGATAAGAGAACAAAATTTTAATTACTAAGTTGACTCAATACAACATAACACATCGATTTCCCATTATGAACTTTCTAGTAGCAAGCATTAGGAGAATATAGCGAAGAATAAAAAAGCTAGCAAGCAGGAACTTCTAATATAAAGGGAGAATAAACCTTCAATCAAACCTTTAGTTTGATACACAAGGAATATATGCCTTAAAATGAAAAGAATGTTCGAGTGAAACTGCTTTAAAAAGGAAAATGAAGTCAATGAATGATAAAAGAAATGCAACCTTTATGCAAAAAAAAGGTAATACATCCTTATTAATGGTAATAAAGCATAGAAGTTATGAAATAAAACTTACTTGTCGGTTGGGAAGTCGGAGCAACTCCAGTTCTGACCCACTAATGCCTCATGGTAAACACGGCACTCTTCTTTGTTACGAAGGCGAAATCTGCGCTCCTTCTTGCATGTGGTACAGCGGATAAACTCATCACGGTGGCATGGACGTCCATTGGGACCTTTGTGAGAACCATTAGTAGCTTTTGATGTTAGATTATAGTATTTAAGCAGGGGAGTCTTTGTCAGCGAAACCTTCTCTCCTTCAACTATGACCCATACATTGCTCTTCCATTTCCTTGCACTCTCCCTCCCAGAATGCTTCTCAAAAGCAGCTGGGGACAACTTCACTGTTAATAATAGACCAACTAGTTAACATCAAAATTGGATACAACTAGAATAATTATGGTAATTCCCCAGTTAAATATTAGCCATCCTATAGCACTGCAGCAGAGTACTCATTTGATACAGTCAGGAATATTTCTACATTTTCTTATTTTTCTTTCATAAAATTGCAACATGAAGTTGCCTTTGTTTTAAAACTTTTTAGATAACTAATTTGGTGGGGAAGCGTTCAGAGAGAAGGCAAAATGCCAACCATTGTTGAGTCAGAAAGAGAAGTTTTGATCATAACTAAATGCATATTAAATTAAAAGCAATTGATTTTTTTTTCAAATCAACACACACTTTTTTGTTTATAAACCTTTACAACTGCAAAAAAATCAAAAAGCTTCCAGCTTATCCATTCAGCATAAAGCTTCAGCTGAGAAATCACTAACCACTTCATAAATACTGTTTAAATCAAGAGTGTTCACTCATAGCATAATCACGATCCAAAGAACAAATATTAACACCATCAATGAAAAAGTGGCACATAACGGGACTCTTAGCATGGGCTTCGTTTGGGACGGCTTTTTTAATGCTTCTTAAAGCAGCTTTTTAGTTAAAAAATTAAAAAAATTTATACTAGAAAGCTGCTTAGAGAAACAGTAGTCCCAAACGAAGCCGTAAGCTAGTAGGATAAAATGGAAGAAAGGTAGAGAATTGTGGTTGGAACACTGAATCACATATGAACTATCTTTCTATGTATAATTTAAGATATGCTCATGCCCATACTACTGACCAACCTCATATTTGATAAGAATAGATAGCAAATTGACAGACATCACCAACAAGATGGCGATAATCAGATCAACTAAGAAACCAAAATCATTGCTTAATAGCAATAATATTTAGATAACAGTATTATATAAAAAACAATATTGAATCAAACTTAGCCTAAAATGACACTGATCTTTACTCTGTAACGGTGACAAAACCAGCACAGCAGCACATAGAATCACAGCATGGAAAGCCAGGCAAAAAGAGTCACGACATGGAACAGAATCAATCATATTAGAATGATTCAGCTCACATGTCAACCAACAAAAATAACACTTAGAATCAAATAAAATCAATGAAGCAGGAATATTGACTGCTCCAAAAAGTAAACCATGCAAGGATCCTCTTTATGAACAGTGAAAATTATCACAGCACATGTAATATTTGCACTTTTAATTGCCAACATGAAATAAACGTCCTTGAAAACTATGAAAAAGACAAGTACGACAACATCTTAAAACCCAAACAACTCTATTAGAAAAAGCATACATCTTGCATGGAATAAAGAGAAACCATAAAATAATTCCAAATCTTCAACTTCAAAAGAGCACGGCCAGAGATCAAACAACGAAAACTCGTTAACACGAGAAGATTTCTTGGCACCAGAGAACTAACGCAAAAGATTAACACATCGACATCAATATGAAGAAGCTGTTTGAAAGGATCAAAACGCAAGAAAGCAAGAGACTCTACTCACCTTCTTGGCATCCAGGTGTACACTCGCAGTCGATTTGGAGATCACCAGAGGCAAAAACCCTAAGCCTGCCCACCGCATCGCCATAGCGATGGCTCGTGCAACCGCACATCACCTCGACAAAGTCCAATCCTTTCTTCAACCCGCTTATCTCGCTCACCTCTTCCTCCGGGAACAGAAAGACTCCATCTCTAGCCGAACCGTTCGCCATCTCCACAACTCCCAGATCGCAAAAAGAGATTTTTCAGGGGAATCTAGCACCAAGATTCCACTTTTAGCATCCAGATAACCAGGCCTAGACGCGAGATGAAGTGAGCACGCGCCGCAGATCGGAGAGCATCGAAGGAACACAGAAAAGACGCAAACACGGGAAGAAAAACCGTGGAAAAAACCTTATTGAGAGATCTGCTAAAAACCCACGTCTTAAAAGCGCCACCTTTCTACGCCGAGATCTACAAGAAAAAAAAATCCTCCGAGACACACTAAGTTAACCAAATGCACACGCCTATCACCTAAAAACCGGTGGGGAAAGGGATATCACTAAGGTTTTTTGAAAAGCTTCCTATTTTGCCCTCTTCTCTCCTTTAAACACGAGCGAGAAAAAGAGCTCGAGAAGAGAGATAGAAGACGAACGAACGAGCCAAAGACCATGGGAGGAGAAATAGACGAGAGACGAAGAAGAAGGGATTAAGTAGGGGATCCGGATTTGCCGGAGGTGAAAAGACTCAGTCGAGTGATGAGAAGATAGGAGAGCTTTGGTTTTATTCCCGAAGAGGGCCCATTGCATGACGCGAGAAATAATGCGATGGAGAGAAGAGAACAAAAATACGAAGAGGAGCGTGCAGCGGCAGTAGGAACGAAGGTAACGAGGTTTTATAATGGAGGAACCTTTTTTTTACCATTTCAATGAGTTATTACTTGGTTTCTGATGTCCTTATTCAAAAAATCAAACTTGGATTTTGAGCCGCAAAGGTAAGAGGAGCTTTTTGCAGCGGGCCCGACCCCTCTCTCTCTCTCTCCATCTTTTTTTTCTAATACGTACTCAAGTGGGACTGCCTTTGAGAAGCAAGTGGGGAAAGCTCTACCCTTTGGAATCTGAAAGTGTGCGTTTCACATTTATGGGGAGGAGCGAGCTCATAATATCGTGCCATGAATATCTTCTTAAAAATCGTCTTCTTCTTACACTGACCTCTTGCTTCTCTTCTTCTGTGAATTCTCGTCAAGCAGTTCAATGTCGATGTAGTCGTTTTGATTTTGTAAGAGCTTTGATGTAAGTAAAGGGGAGATACAAGATAAGATAATGAATAAATTACATATTTTGTAATTATTCAGGTATTATTATAACTTTATATTTTATTTATAATTTTTTATATCATTTATATTTTTAATAAAATATTTTGTGACTATTCCCTATTAAATGAGAGATTATTCAGTGCGGTGTACGAACGCATCCGGAGACTGATTCAGACGCGTTACATCACCCATTGCACTGTGCATTGTGTGACGTGATGCGTCCGAATTAACACCGCACGTAATAATTTTTCCTATTAAAAAGATCAATAATTGAAATTTTATTTCTTAAATGAATATTTAGTTCTTTAATTCTAGTCATTTATTATTCTTCACTTGCATCTGCTTTTTTCTTCTTATTATTATTTTGATATTTCTCTTTTACTTCTTATCAGGGGCGGAACCAGCCTTCTATTTGAGAGGGGGGCGCAAAATTTTCATATTAGCATAATACTATTTAAAAAAATAAAGACATAATTTAAAGCAAAATCTTATATTTAATTATGATAGGTAAACTAGAAATCATTACAATCTTATTAATCAATTTTACTTTTTTTGATAATATTGGATTACATCTTCATTGGGAATCAAATCAAACACATCTTTTTCAATGTAAGACACAAGATAGTCGTTGAGTCAATCATCACACATCTTACTACGCAATCAATGTTTGATAATTTTCATTGCAGAAAATGCTCTCTTCACTATAGCAGTAGCAATTTGTAAAGTTAATGCTAAAATAATAAGTCTATAAACCAAAGAATACGCACTATACTTCTTCATTTTAATAAATAGTTTTGCAAGATCAGCAATGCTGCTTAGAGAAGAGAACGCTTCGCTGATCTGCATATCAATAATATAAGTTGATAATTGATTTTTAAGTGCCACAACCTCAATTATTTAAAAATTACTTGGTTATAACTTTGTTAGACGTATCAATTTTCTCTTCTCATAAGCACGAAAAGAATCACTTGGGTTTAAGCATACCACACAAAGAAGCAACTCGGTACTAGATTTAGAAAACCAATTATTTAGCTCTTAAAGTTGCATGTTGACTACAATATATAAAATAGCTCGATTTGTTATTTCTTCAACCCTTTGCATTGTTTGATGATGAGTTTTGTATGCAGCATTCATGTTTAGAACATCAACTTTAAAAACTCCACAAAAGCGTGACACTTCATCCAGTAAATTAACCCATCCATTCTCCCTCAATTTATGTAGTCGTTATTTATATATTTTGACTAATTTCACCGCATTTTCAATGTCTTGATTGTTTCTTTGCAATGATTGTGATAACTCATTCGTAATTCTTAAGATATCAATCATCAAATGCATTGTGAAAATAAAATCAAAAGACTACATTATATCAATTAAAATTCCCATTTCAACCGACTATTGATCATGTACCTCTTCTATTTTAACAATCTCTAGCACCTTCATTGCAGAAGCATACAGATGCATAAGACTAATTAAAGAATGGAAATAGAAACTCCATCGAGTATCACTAGATTTTTTTTAAATTAGTCTATTGATTTATACATTGACCGCTTATGATATTATCATTTTTAAGATGCAAAAGTATTTTATCATGCTGAATAGTTTTAAGAGCATCTGATCTCTTACAAGAAGCCCTAATAGTATTTATAATTCTGAAAGTAAACTCAAACATATGTTTTACTTGTCAATGATTCTTTGTTACTACTATCAAACATAATTGGAGTTGATGAGCGAAATAATGAACATAAAATACTTGAGGATTATCATTTAGGATAAGTGCTTTCAAACCATGAAATTCCCCTCGCATATTGGATGCTCCATCATAACCTTGACCACGTATCCTATGTATGCTCAACGAGTGTTTGGCAAGTATGTCTTCAATGGCTGCCTTCAGTGTAACTGAATTAGTGGATGTTACATATTTGATGTTAATAAATCTTTTTATGACTTGTCCCACCTTATCCACATATCTCATCGCAATAACTAGTTGTTCTTTCGTAGAAACATCATGAGATTTATCAACTATTATTGAGAAGTATGAGTCACAAATATCTTTCATGATAAATATTAAGGTTTCAGCAGCTGTTGGACATATTTATTTCTGAACATTTGGTGAAGTGAACTTCAAATTTGAGTTTGCATGCACAATTGTCATTGTCTTAATTTCTTCATTGTGATTAATAAGAAAATCAAATAGCTCCAAAAAATTTTCTCGATTATCTGAGTTGTATGACTCATTATGCCCACAGAATGATAAATTCTAATGTAATAGAAATTGAACACAATCAATTGATGCAGTCAACATAATCCTATAATCTTTTTTGTTCTTATCATCTATGCTTACCATAAAGTTGGTAGAATGTGTTCTTGGTTCTTCATTAAATCCTCATATTTTTATCTAATTTTATTATTAATACTATTATGCTCTTTAATGTGACTTAATAGTTTTTCTTTCCTCTTCTAGTTTTTGAACCATTCTCCAATAAATGAGTCACCACCACCTTGACCTTTAATAATCTGCTCTTGGGATTTGAAAAGATAACAGTAAAGACAAAAATCAACATCTTTCTGCACACTGTACTCTAATCAAATCAACGCATTCATCAAACCATTTTTTATTAAACCTGCATGCAATATTTTCAAGTAAGGTTTGAGGGAATTGATGACTTCAATTCTCGGTTGATGAAGTCCCTTTAATATATATGCTCTCTGAACCTTATCTCTATCATTTACATCATAACTCCAAATTGGAAGTTATAGTCCAGGACCAACTAGGAGATTATTAATATCAATTTATATACGCTCTTTCCTCTTTAAATAATGCTCCATTTATTTAACCCTAAAAAGAAATTTAATACCAAGGAATAGCACTCGTCAATCAAAAATTAACATCAAGATCAAACACAATATGCAAAAAAAAAAAAACTAAAAAATAATAATATTATTAGTGAAATCATCAATTCCGTTCTTAGGTTCACATGCAGTTATATCTCTGACATTCCAAACTGTTCAACTCTGAACTTACACATTTACACCTAAAAGGAAGCATAAGTAACTCTCTTTAGTCCTCCCTTCATTAGTATCTCACGATTACTAAAATACATATAATTTGTTTTAAATAATTAGATGGCAGAAGAAACTTCTGCAATGAAACACATCAACGAATTCAATCTTATCACAAGTCAGTTGAGAACAATTTCAATGTTTAAGTTCGAGTTTTGTGCTTATTATCCTTGCTACTAGGGATTGCTATTAAAAGTTCTTTGAATCAACGAAGCTAAAGCTTAAAGATATATGTGATGTATTCTTAAGAAAAAAATATAACTATATTCTTTTCCTTTGCCTTTAAAACTTAAAAATGGAGAAATAACTGTAAAAAAATCTATCTCACAGAGAGATGTAAATCTCATAAAAATAGCTATAACAATTATTGCAACAAATGATAGTGAATGCCACTCTTGAAAGATATTATGGGTAATTTTATGATAAAAAAGAGCATGCGGACATGCCAGAGTGTGAGCACAAAGAAGCCGAAGAAAAAATGAAGTCCTCGCCTCCTCCAAGTCCAAGTGAGCAAGTGATTAATGAGCAAAGAGAAAAACCACGATAAGTGATCGACGAGCGCACGATTGCACGGCAGGATTCGAGCGTCGAGCAGAGAGAAGAGAATCGCGAGCGCACGGACGGAGTCTTCAACTAAACGAAGCGGGCATAAATACCTAGAAGGAGCGATTAGGGCAAATTTTAACCTGCTCAAGGGGTAATTTACTAAAAAAAAAAAAACCCTACTTTAATAAAGATTTTATATTTTTTTTAGGGGGGGGGGGCAATTTTCCCCCATGGATTGGGCGTGATTTTGCCCCTGCTTCTTATATGTCATTCTTTTTTTATTTACGTTGAAGTTGGTTATTAAACCCTTTTCAGTCCCATCCCACTCCATATTATTATCTTCTATGAAATAACCCTTTTCAGTTCCATCCCACTCCATATTATTATCTTCTATGACCATTGATCTTGAGTATTGCACCTATGCTAGCTATACATTCAAACCCATTGCATCATCCCTACATATTGGTTTCGTCACTCATTATGATGGTTCTAGCATATGGCAATCATGTTTGTGCTCACTTCTACTTACCAATTCTCAAACTATACTATTTGAAATTCTCATAAATTTCATAAGGCATTCTGACCTTATAATAATAATACACGCCAGAATTAAAAGCGCCAATTAGCGAGATATCTCAACTTTCATAGTAATTTATTGTAGGATAACTCTAAGACATTGTCATAGGGATCCTCTCATGAATATAAAATCCCTCAAATGATGCTTAGTGTTATGTATCTGTGAGAAACATTATGAACATCAACTTCAAATGATATGAAAGATAGAAAAAATATTATAATTTTTTTAAGGAAGACATTAAATTTGATAAATAAATTGAATGAACTTTAAAAGAGACATATTTATAGATGATGACTCTTTTCTTGACTCCAATATTAAGTGAATCATCAATTCAGGTT